ATAGAACTTCTGCACTTCTTTACAAGCACTCACCAGAAATTGAAATTCATACAACTGAAAAAGTGACTATTTTCAGTAATTTCAGCTCATATTTTGCATCAAAATGAAGGCATTTTTCAACAAATGTTTGGAAATTCAGCCAGTGCCAAACAGAAGGTCATTCAGTACAGGTCGGGGAAACTTCAATTAAAAGATAACTGGCACATTTCGTTATAGTTATTTAAGGAATCTTTAGCAACTCATAACAGAAGAACAAGTATGCAAAATCTCTACAGTTTTCCATAAACCGTATTAGCATGGGCAGAAAACTACATTTAAATATAACAACAGATTGCTCATTCCTGTTAAGAACTCTGTGACTTATGTTGGAGCACCATGTGTAGAGTCTGAGGTTGGGTGCGGTGAGTGTTTGGGTGCTGATGACTTTTCTTAGCATGTACCCAGTATTTCAGGACAAGGGGATACCACGCATTAATAGCTGAAAAACTGCTGATACAGTTTTTGTGTCTGCTTTTAAAAAACTGGAGCCATTAGTGGTGCCAAAAAATTAAAAAAATTAAGGCAATCTAATTACTGCTATTTTAAAATACTAAGGTTCCTTTGTAGCCATGGAAACAAAAATGCAGACATTAACGAGCAAGGGGGGAAAAAACTGGTGTTTCCTTGACAACAGAAAAAAGCATAGCTCCATGAAACCGAGAGGAGAGAATGACAGAAATACCTTTTACCATGACATACAACAGAAATACAAGTCCAGTGCAATAGCATACACCACTAGAAAAGGTGAAGCGACTCTGCCAGGAAGCCATAAGTAAGAAAGTCCTTCTTGGACAAAAGGCATGCGATTCAAGCAATAGGTGCCAACCCTGAGACTGATCTAGTGCCTTGCAGTGTGGATGGGATTAGTGTGCTCTGGAGAAATCTATCCCTGGGCAGACTGGACACTACTATTTCACAGCCAGGTGTGGAAGAGCAGCTCTTTCTTGGACTGCATCATAAATTCTGTGTATATATAGCCCCTCTTTGCCCAATGAAAAATGGTATAAATAGTAGGTAAGATTATGACACAGGAAGGGATACAAGTAGTATACAACTTTAACTTAATTATTCTCACTCAAAATATAGAAAGGCTGGCAGCCACTCACACAATCCAAAAATATTTTTGTTGGAGGAACACAAAACCGTTCAAACACAACAAAATAAGAGAAACCATAATAGAGGTAAATAAGAGGAAAACAGTAAGATTACAGGGTTATTTTTTCCGGTGGTTAGTATATAGCATAATAGAAAATTGATACATACAACAATTTAATGAAATTAAAAAATAGAAGAGTTAATTGGCTAATTTGCCACAGGTATTTTGGAAGAAATGAATCTTCCAAAAGAGGTCTTTCTTTTACACTATCCAGTTTATGTTATTGCAAGCATTGCTACACAGTGGAAATGCAAGTATATCAATCAGCTCAAAATCCTAAACTGTTTTGTGGCTATAGCAATAAAGAACTGGATACTAAGCTACAAGAATGTAGGGTTTCCTTGACAACATGTTGAGAAAAAACACAACTACATAAAAGATTATGAAGAAAATAAAAATAAAATAAAATAAAATAAAATAAAATAAAATAAAACAAAACAAAACTATATATAAATATATATGGTTGAGTTGGCTGAATGGTTTTACCTGTGTGACTGGTGCAGGTGTGGAGTCACAGGTCTAGCTATTGACGTTTTCCTTTACTGTTTTTGATACTGATCAGAAAGTTGATTCAAGTGATGAATGACCCTGTCAAATTATGGTCTTATTTTCTGTAAGGTACATTTAAGTTAATGTAGCTGGTGTTTTTTAGAACATTTCTGAATATCATCTGAAGTTCTGAAGTTATCTGTTTTCTATGACAAATAAGAAACAGATGGGAGAATTAGTATGACTAGTCTGTGCATGTGTAAAAAAACCCTAACCTTCTTGACTTTCTGAGTAGGAGCAACTGTTCCTCTGAAAGCTACATTGCTTTTAAGTGCATCATAATTGCAATTACTCATATTTATGATGTGATATGCCTGAAAATATTATAGCTCATTATTCCAGCAATCTAAAAGACCTGAAAAGACCCTTCATACTCCTTCTGTAAACATTTATTTTGTAGAAGAGGCAGCATAAGTTCCTCTACTTTTTACCCTTTCAACTGGTAGCAAATAATGACTTAAGCAAGAAGGAGTAGTTGGAACTCTTCATTACCACCCTATCTCCTGGTACTTAGGAGCAAGGCTAGACTCACTGATCTACTTTTTCTCTCATTAGTTTGAGCTTTGTTCTTGGGTTGTAGAATATCCCTGTGAATTAATCCATGAAACTGTCATTCACCAGAACTGCTTATGCTGAATTTATTAAAAAAAAAAAAAAAAAAGAAGAAGCCAAGAGAAGCCCCAAATCCCCAAATCAACCCTGTATGATGATTCAGCATGAAGAGCCCTACCTAAAACACATTAAATATAAATTTGGGAAAAAAAGGTCTGTGGTTTTTAATTGGAGATGGTTTGTATATATATGTTTTTATTATTATTATTATTATTATTATTATTATTATTATTATTATTATTATTATTATTATTATTATTATTATTATTATTATTTTCTTTGAGTGAATGTCTACATGCACAGCCCTGCTGCTGGGTTATGAAATGCATCCAAGCATTTTAAAGCAGAAATTCAATTCTTAGTGAAACACTTTGGTTGTGTGCACAACCAGCTGAACCTTTTCTTTTTTTGTGTTTGCCTCAGCATTTTCTCAGCAGTCCTTGACTCCTTTTCTTATGGGATCTATTACTTTTACCTTGTGTTTTAGTTTTTTCCCTGTACTGGCTTTTTTTTTTTTGGCAACTAGAACCATTTGCTAACGAAGCTGTGTCTCTCCCTTTTGCTGTTTGAGCAAATTTTTGCCCTTAAGTTCTTTTCTCTTTGACTTTTTTTTTTTTTTTTTTGGGGGGGGGTTTACCAATATGTGAGTGTTACACTCCTGTTTAGGGTGGCAGTTCTTGCTGTCTCGCCAAAATATACAACAGCGCCATATGAACCTCAGTAGCTGTTAGTCAGTATTGATATTAGGGTAATAATTAGCTCTTCAGCTTACTAGAATGCCTTCATTAATCCTGCTTTCAATATTTTTATTGTATTTAAACGTTTCCAAAATTTGAATACTTGCTTTAAAAGATTCTAACAATTTATACAGCTGTATTTTATGGGGAAAAATATCACGTTAAGTACCATAGTACAAATGTACCTTTGGTCAAATGGAAACTGTAGGCAACCTTGCTCTGTACATTGAAACTTAAGAGTTCACATATATAAAATAAGTATTGCTATTTGAGATAACTGATAGCAACTTTATATAATAAGTCTTCATGGGGATTAGTCCCCAGAGGAGGATGAGGTACATTTAGACATTTCGGATGTCACTTTATCTGCAGCAAAGTGGCCAATACCACGACAGAAATTATAGATGCTGTAGTGGCTGTATCCAGGCTACTAGCCTGTATTAGGCTACTAGAAAGTCACTACACAGCGTGTCCATGACATACCGAGACAAAATGAGTAGTATGTACCTTTCAAAGATACTGCTTCAGGCTATGCATTTTGTTACTACCCTTTCAAACTGGGTCAAGAAAGTTGTGACTCACACACACCAAATTCTGCTGGTTTGGCATTCAGCTCTGTATCCTCTGTGGCCAGAAGGTGGGGTGACAGTGACACTACACACTATACAGCAACATGGATATTGTGAAGTCTCCTCCCTGTGCCATACCCACCTGCCCAGCTGTCCAGTTGCCCTGCTCATTAGCATTAACAGAACACCAAATGCAACAAAAACCCTATTTGATTTGGGGGTCATTTCAATATTAAAAAACAAAATAAAACAAAACAAAAAAACACACACCTAAACCCTCACACTAAAGAATACATATGCTTTGTGTCCAAGCACATGGTTTTTCAAGCTGGATGCCTTCTCTCAGGCATACATGAAGATATGCATTTAACAAGTGCTGGTCCCTTGCTGTCATGGACCAGACAAGTCATAAAGACTCTGTGAAGTTTTCAAGCTCCTTTCCAAAACTGTTTTGTCTCTGTTTCATTCTTCTTGGTCAACAAAATGTTGAGAAGTGTTCTCACTAGTCTGTCAGAAAACTTTCCTCTGTCCCTCCCAGTAATGTAGTATTCACATCCATTTATATTCATTCCCTCTTGTGCCAGCAGTTGCATTTTAGCTTAAAGAGCATTTTCCTGTCCTTCATCATGGTATTATAGAGAACAATCCCTTTGTCTCATTGCTGTTGGCCTCCTTTTAATCCAGTAGTTGCAACAAACATTCAGATTTGTTTTCTGACTGATTTGGATTTGGATCAGTAAGCCTGAAGCATTTTTGGAGTGCTGAACAAAAATGGGTTGCCAGAATTACACTTTTATTCTTGGCTGTTTTGTGGAACATTCAAGGGAATAGTTGTGGCTTAAAATGTCCTGCCTGGCTAGTTGTGGAGTGGCTGCTATGTGTACAGTACCCTTCTGCTCAGTGCTACCAAGATATAGCATGCTCAAAAGCAGAAATATAGGCACGTTCTGAAGACTTCTACTGTGGAAATTTGGATGCCTTTTGGGATATGGGCTTCTAGGATAATGAAAAGAATAGCAGCAAAAATGACAACAAAATGTTCACACTATATAAAACAAAATAACCTTCTTAAATACTCATTTTACCTTTAATATTTTAGAGGCCAAGGAGGAAACCTGACTGGATTACATCTATTAAGTTAATAAATAATATCAGTAATAATAACAATAAAAAGCAACTCAGAAAAAGATAAAAGAAAAAAGTAATAATTTTTCATTTGTGCCTGATGGGTTTGTGTTTTTTTTTTTTTTTTTAACTGTTTGCAAATCTTCAGTGTAATGGTTTGAAACCCAGTCGTGTCATTTCTTTACGCCCACACACAGAGCTGCAGTAGTGCAGACACTGTAGCAGGCAAACCATATTACCAGCATCGGCCATTAAAACTCTTCCCACACCAAGCGTGGGCTGACTTCGCCCCCTCCCCTCTTTGCACACACCCCACCACCCACCCTTCAATTTTCAAATGCTTAAAAAAAAAGAGAAGAGAAAGAGACTGAAAAAAGAAAACAGGATGCTTCTTTTGTTTCAACGCTATTCCAGAGAGACCTGAACCTCTCCACCTGCCTGTGAATTGGCCACCTAAAGGTTAGCAAGTGTTTTGTTATCATTTTATACAGATAGAGATATAATGAAATTCTAGATAGGAGGAGATAATTTTTTAAGTTATGATTGTTTTAATGTAATGGTTCTTTCACTTAGGAACGAGGAGGATTTTTTACTAAAACACAGAGTATTTTAGTACTGGCCCCACTTCTGTTTTTAAGAGGGCTTTAATCAGTAATTTTTCATAATTTAGTCCAACCTCCTAAACTTTAAAAGATGGATAAGGGTTATTATTTTTCTGTTAGAGCAACCTGTTGATTAGAGACTGCTGGCTGGAGGTTCTTAACTCTTTCCTAACCAGAGAAATTCACAGAAGCAAATTTGATGAAAGGACAAAAGAATGGAAATTCTTTGAGGTTTTCAGATTTTTTTAAGCACTAACATTCCTAGTTTTTTTCATTGTGAAACCACCAAAAGTGTTACAAAACCAACAGATGTGTTAGATTTTTTTTTTTTGAGAAAAGTGTACATTTGAAATAAAGATAAAATAAAGGCATAATAAACTAGAAGCATTTCTTCTGAGTGGAGCTGGTAAGAGTAGAAGCACAAGGAGTAGAATAGGAAATATTCTCTGATACTCTGATACTAATTGCATGAAGAGATCAAAAGGGCCAAAGCAACACTTATTTACACACTAAAACTTTAGCTGACAATATTATTGATGAAAGCCTTTTGAACATTTTCATTTGTGGATATTCATGAAAAGGAGAATAAAAAAGACAGAAAGCTGTGTATTTAAAAATGATCAAAACATTCTATTCTAGAGTGAAGGAAAGGTGTTACAGGTCACATTCTCCTTAAAATGTTTTAATGCTGTTTTCTGGGATAGGGTTTACAAAAATAATACAATTTAGCTGACATAACGCAGTGGTAGAAGTAAAGTATCAAAAATATCTGTCCCCAGGGTATAGTACTGGACCTTCAAAGTTTGATAACTGTGATTTCTAGGTGCTTTGTACTTTTATAGGAGATAAAACAGGGTAAAATTTCAGGAACAATGACTTCTTAACAAATAGGAAGATTTCCCAAAGTCAGAATTTGATCAAGAAACATTAATGTTGAAAATTATAAGGGTTTCAGAAGATTAGGAAATCACACATTTCATCTCAATTCTGCCTGGAACTGAGGCTCTCAACTTTGTTAATAAGGTTATGAGCGGTCTGCAAATTGCTGGGAGAACTTGCAGTCTGGTAAAATCAGATACATCCCTTAAGAACAAGTGAAAAGGTGAAGTCAGTACTTCTGTTATGAGACATTTCAAGGTATGAAGTCAAAATGAGAAAAGAGCAGAGGCAGAAATAGTTTTAAAGTAAGTAAAACAAGATTAACAGTCATTTCTGGGCTAATCAGGAAATGTATTGGTTCCATTTGCAAGTTTGAATTGAGGTTTAGAAAGCTCCAGAATTAGGGTAAACTCATAAAGATTTCTTTTCCATTAAACAAGTAGCATTTGAAGTACCTGTACAAAATTTATTTCTGGCTCTTTAGCTCACTGTTCTTGTATTTAAATGGAAGTTTTGTCTAGTCAATCATGGGAGTTCTTCATAAACACTGGCACCTTCTGGTAGCCATCAGTGGTAGTCTAGCAACTGGAAATGATAATTCCAGTATCTGTACCATATGCTGACAATAAGGTACTCTGTACTGTGTGCTGTTTTCAGCATTATTGTCCACATAAATAAATACATAATAATAAAAAATAATAGCTAACAATCCTGTAAGATACTTTCTTTTCATTTAAGTGTGTAAAATATTTAAGAACATGTAGTTGATAGGATCTTTGAAATACATTAGTTTATCAGTATAGGTAGCATATTTGTTGTTACTTTCAGTTGATCACATCTTTGACTAAAATCCTGTGGGTATCTTTGAAAGATGCAGGGTTTTAGATGCCTGGGAAGGAGCCCTTTCCACACATTCTTGGAACCTAGAAATACATGAGAATAGTATGTGGGTTTATCTCTTCAAATCCTGACTAAAACCTGAATTGAGTGTGAAGTGAGTTTGTTAGCACCACATCTCCCTGCTGTGCAGTACCTGACAGTAGGCTTATCTCTGCACATAGCTAAAATAGCTATTTTGCTATTGGCCAACCAAAGTTAATTGGGCTTCCCTGGTCAGGATAATGGTTTGAACTAAAATGAATATAAGCAATGTTGCACAGAGATTCCAGCTTAGGAGGTAACACCTAAAAACAGGTAGGTTAAAAAGAGAAAGCAAAATTAACTTAATTTCAAATAGAACTAATACAGTGCAATACTAGTCATTACTATTAAATATACAGTTCAAATTGTAGCCATTACAGCAGTCTGTTCATCCATATACATGGGAATCATCACATTCTGAGGTGTCATTCTGATTCCAGATTCACTTATTTAAAATTCAGAAATTTCAGATCAAGCTTCAATAGTTTTGCTAAGCCCTGAAACCTATGTGATAATGGCAAAATCCATTCAGATATCTGCTATAGTTGTAACTTGTTTTCTTTAATTATTGTTTCCTTTTAGCCTCTCGAGATAAGCAGTTTGCAAGTTTAGTATTTAGAATTTGATATGCTACTGAGTGTTATAAATAATGAATTTTAAAAGTTTTTTATATGCTTTAGAGTTGTTACTAGTTCCAGCATATTGCTAGAATTATTAGTACTGTTTAAAATAAATGTTCTTTTAAAGTAAGTTCACCTTACCTTAAAATAATAACCAGTGTCATAGAAGAATAAAATATAATTGACTTCAGATATGTGATAAACCTGAAGAGACACTTATTTTGTTTATATAAAATGCCTATTTGAATCATTTGAGTCTGAGCAGTGTTCTTTTATGTGTGTCTTTTTGTCTCTGTTGGTTGACTGTAGCAGGCAATAATCCTCCAGATGATCTCACATGTGAGAATCCATTGCTTTAGGAAAGTATCTCCCAGTAGAACTGAAACTTGTTGCTGCATGCAGTTACTTTTTATCCATAGGGACAGAATGAGTCCGAGGATCAGAAGCACAAGTTGTAAAGCTGTTCACAGTGTCAAGTAGTTTTCTAGATTCACCAATTTTAAGTGTTTGCTGTGCTGTTACCTAGTACTGGGAGCATTTCAGTGCATGATAGAACAAAGCAGGATCTTAGGCATCAATAATGGGTCCTGTTAAGAGCTTTTTTTGATCCTGAATAACTAAATGACAGGCAAGAAAGATAGAAAGGATAAGAAGACAAATATTTCTCCACCTCCAGAATTAGAGGTATAATAAGGTCCAGAAAAGACCTAATAGTGATCCAAACAACAGGCAAAACTCTCTGAGATGAATAAAGCTATGTAAAATGAAAATCCATTTACACCTCCAGCATCAGTCTATTGACTGAATTACCAAAAAGAAAGAGCTTTCACTAAGTTGGATATTGGACAAACAATCATAAATATTACAGTTCAACCACTACCCAACTTAGGGTAGCAGATACAGGCTGCAGCTATTTGAATTGGGCAGATTGTGTTAAGTTGTAACCAGACTAAAGGCTCCATTTTCCAAAACACAGTTCCTAAGGAATTTTTACAGGCCAGATATGCTGATTTTGTAACATTGACAGGAGTAAATCTTGCATATTCTAGTTCAGTATTTACCCAGTCTAACAGCGGTGAAGGAAGTAGCCATCCCAATCCGTATTTTAAAAAGGCGTTTGCATGATGAACAGCTGTCCTCCTGCAGGCCACCCTGGCAGACCACTTTGTTTGAGGACTTTATGAAGTCAACCCACAAACAAAGCTTAAATTCTCAAAAGGATGTCCCATCCTGTTTTCCCTACAACTTTTCACAAGTTTTGAGAGGTATTTGAAGAATGATCTAAACACTTTCAATAGCCTTGAAGTATTTTGCCAGTTGGTTACTGCTTCCTACCGCACTGCAGGGCACCATTAGAAGACGCTGGGGGATAATACCCACACGGGATGAGCTCAGCATTTCATATACAGCAAGTGACTCGTCTCCTCCATTGTTTCCTTTTCTAACATATTTTAAGAGATATCTTTACTATAAGGTTACGAGCAAATTACCTTTAAGGGTATAAACAAAATATTTATGTTGTTTAACTACCACTGTGTTCGTGTATTTCACTGAATAATGCAATTGAATGCAGTGTATGAAATGTCTATATTTCAAAGGCAGCTGATTCTGTTTATAGGTTCCTACGTGAATGAAGGATAAGAACAGATTGAAATGCTACTTCATTTTCTTTTGCTTCATCTCTTCCTGTTTTCTGAAGGTTGTTACTGTGAAACCAATGTAAAAAAAAAAATACTTCCTACTTCGAATCTGTTTCAAGTCTTTGTCCTCGTTTCTCTCTGCTTGTATGAACTATTGACAGAAATGAGACTTCTGCTGCTGAAATGCCTGGCTCAATAAAAGGTATGTAAGCTAAAATTATTTACAGACTAAAGAGGATTCATTTTCTATATAGTATTATATTTAAGGAAGGGATCACCAAAAGCTTTTAAAATACAAATATTTTAAGTACAATATAGTACATTATGTATGTTCAGAGTGATGAATAGCTGCTTCTGCATGGTTACAAAAATAAACTAACTCTATCATGCCTACAGACTATACTTGTAGATGAAGATAGGGAACTGAGCACTGGACTTAAGGACTATGATGCTCCTCTTAGTGGTGTATCAAAAGTTTATATAAAAGTGCTGGAAATAAGCAGTTACAAGTTCACTTAGTAATTTTATTAATAATGATGGGCAGTTGACATTGCCACACAGAAGACAAAAATCAAGAGATATCACAGAAGAGAATAATCAAGATTATTATAATAGAGCTGATAAAAAGAAGCAAATTTTCTAAAATATATTTGGAATTAAGAAGAGTACAGAAAGGGCTTACATTGGGCTTACATTGATTTTTTTCTACCAATTTATAGAATCAAACAAATTCTGCTATGCCGATCTGAAACTACTCCATTTTTTGACTTTGCAGTGTTCCACAGATCTACCTATGGTGCTTATCTGAAAGTGTAATTCAAACTAGGGACAAAATAATTGCATTTAAATTGAATCTTGACCAGTTTTGATACCTTAAGAAACTAATTTTGAAAGTTTTGGACAGGCCAAAGCCTGCTCGTTGTTTTGTTTACTGGAAACATTTCCTTATCTAAGTAGGATCAAGTTTTTATATTAGTAGTTCAATGCTACAAGCTAGAGGTTAAGCTCAGACAGTCATGTAGGGGCTGCTCAGTACAGAGTGTGGGGGATAATCAACAAAGGAAGTTTTTCTACTCTAAGCAGGAACTATCTAGAATTAGCCAAGGGGAAGATATATATAAACATATATATGTATATAAACAACAGATGTGAAAAATGTTATTTTATTTACCACAACAGAACACCAGCCACAGAACTTTCACTTAGGAAGAAAATATCTTCTGTTTGTTGTAGAAAGTAGCAAACTACCATAGCCAGTAGAAATATATTATTAAACTCTTTAAAGTATTTGGTAAGCACTTTGGTATTTTCCTTGTGTAACATTACAGAACATTGAAACAATTTTCAGAATCATACTGTTTGTTGGGGCCCAGAAATCTTAACAGTATAAGTGAAATTACACAGATATTCTGGTCCCTGGAACTACAGGATTCATATTAGAAACATCTGTCCACCACAAGTCCTACTAATTTACCGTCTGGCCTTGAAGTGCCCATCAACTGCTCATGCACAGGAGTGATCAAAAATTTCAAAGAGGGATCAAAAATTGTCACACAGGAGCAGGCTTATCAGGGTGGAAGTGTAAATTCCACATTTCTATGCTAATCCAGGGGAATGTGGGGAGCACAGATACTATGATCTGTTTTGTCTGATGTGGTTTATTTATTAGATGTTTTAGCTACATGGTATTCAGATTTCACTTTTCTTTGAGTTTTATCTCCCTAACATCCCTGGAAAAACTACTGCATTCTTAGGTTATGAGTGCCTCATGTCTTATTACTTGCTGCTGGTTTTATTAAGTACAGTTACAATTTATCTGCACTGTGATTTTGCTGCAAATATTAGACTTTATACAATGCCTCGTATTTCTTGTGTTTGTGTCATCATAGCTTCTACCTATCAGTCAAATTTACGGTGCCTAAGTTGGATATGAAGGTGACTACATAGCTTAAAAATCTAGAATGGGCTTGAAGCGTCTGTAACCTCTTTTTGCAAATCAGAGCACTCTACTTTTATCCTGTAGTGTTAACCACACTGCAGAATATGGATAATAACTTAATCCCTTTAATAAGTCATAATTCTTATAACATTATTTTATTAATATAGACAATACATATATGACAAAACTAGTTAAGTGATTGTTTGATGTGAAAATCTCAAAAGTGGACAAGGTAAGTCCACACTTGATAACTGAGTTTGATTGACAAAATGCATGAGAAAGAAAAAAAAGACAGTTCTAGAAGGAAAAACAGAAAACACATCCCAGGGACTGCATTGCTGTTTTTTCCTACACTTTTTCAAATCTTGCAAAAAGCAAAGCAGACTGGAGAGAAATTGGAAGAAGCCTTGGCTGTGAAGCATGGGTTGGCAGCCAGTAACAGAACTTCCTGAAGTGGTGCAGAATTAGGAGGGTGTGCTAATAGGCACCAGGTGCTTGGTACACTGGCTTTCCACTGCTCAGTGAGACAAGTATTTACAGTTGCATTGCAAGCTACACGTAAGGATGACATAATCAGAGGGATTAAAGGCAATATCCTAATATGCAAAACCTTTTCATTTGCAAAGAAGAGATAACCAAGAGAGTTGCTTTACCTTCAGTTTCAATGATACATATATTTTATATGAAAAGGACCAGAATTCAGGCTGTTCATTAAGATGTTAATTAGATTTACTATTGAGCACATAACCAGTTGACCTTAATCTGTTCCACTTGATCATGAATACAAAGTTATTTTCCCATTTTTTCATGTGATGTGAGTGAAATGCTACCATTTTTAGCTATGAAGTAGTCAAAATTCTCTTGGATCTTCATCCAGTTTTATATCCATTTACCAGCTCTATCAACAGTAACTGAGGAATACTTAAAAACAATTTCACTGAGTTTGCCAATTCTCCTTGAGATGAATCATTTGCAAGCTTCTCACTAACTACATGCAACAGAGATTTTGCTTTGAATAATGGTAACATACTGTGTGTCATATGGCACTAGTCCAAATTTCAGAGAATATTTTTGAGTAATTTTTTTTTTTTTTTTTTTTTACTGTTTTCCAGTAATGGTTAACTATTAGAAAGATCCAAGGAAGATACCAAAACACTGCTACAGATTATACAGCAAGGCAACAAACTGCGGGTTTCACATTTAGCTACCAATGATGTTATTTTAAATGTCTTTTTTTGGAGACCGTTTGCACAAGAACAGCCTGTTACTCATAACAGCCACTAAATACATAGTTGTGAATATAGAAGAATAATAATTTGAATAAACATCCAAAGATCACTTTTTAATTTTCACCCGAGCTATAATTAGATGTTATGCTGATGTCTCTATCAGTTCTTCCAAAAACAATTTTCAACTAGCTTATTTTGCTAGTTTCCTAGCTTGTTTCTGAGAAGGAAAAAAAGTAAAAACAATTTTATTTCATAAAAATAAAATAAAATAAAATAAAAATTAGTCTGGACCAGCACCAACCCCGGGCAGATTTTCATGAGAATGGCTTCACTTAATCCAAAAACAATGACTATAAAATGTTTTCAGCTGGGATTCAAAACATCTAAATCTAAACAGTATACCACAGTATTACCTTCCATTAAACAAAATGAATTTGGGTTGCACAAAAGAATATGGGAATGGGCATACGGTTCCAGAAAATTAAAACGGTATTATTTATTTATTTTTTTGGGGTGGAGGTTGTAGCGAGACCTTACATTTGCTCAGATTTATTTCTAATATTTTGGGTACTTATTGTAGTTTTAAGTATATTCTTCAATGTTCTTCAAACTACACAGAACTTTTTAATTCCTAGCTAAGACATTAAAGATGAATCAATTTAATTGGAAAAAGAAATAATTATAGTCTGTATAATGCCTGTATATAAGGTTTGTTATATTTTTATTTGGTAAGATTCCCAGTTGAACAGTTGACTTATTTATATACACTAATAAAAAAGTGTTTATTTTATTTAGCTTATTATAGCTAAATATACTTACTATAGCTTATATTAGCTTAGTTTATTTTATTTGTTAAGAATCCTACTTGTTTGTTTCCCCTCCCCTACAGATACGTGAGTACATGGCAGACAACCTTTGAAATGGAGGCACAGAAGCATCCTGGTGTGACTTTTGCACTAGCAGATCAGCCACTTCCAACCTCTTCTCTTCAGCCTGCACAGGGTTCTTCAGCTCTCAGCCAAAACAGTGTGATTCCTCAACAGGAGCAAGCGCTGTCTCAACCTGTGTATCTAAAAACCCTCACTATACCCCTGTATCAACCCGTCCAGCCTGGATGCTTTCAGCCAAACAGTCAGTTAGTGCCTGGCAGGCGCTGTGTAAATCTAGACAGCAGTAGCATACCTTTAATCCTGAATCCACTTGTTCCTTCAGAAGGCACAGATCAGCCCCAGTCAGTTTTTCAGAAACAATTTGGGCAAACTCTAACGTTAAACATAGTAAGCACTTTACCAGTTTTATCATCACCAAATTCTTCTGTAAATGCATCTACTGGAAGCCCAGGAAAAACAAAAAATGCTGGGAAATATATCTGTAAACACTGTGGACGAGACTGTTTGAAGCCAAGTGTCCTTGAGAAACATATTCGCTCTCACACAGGAGAGAGACCCTTTCCATGCACCACTTGTGGTATTGCATTTAAAACTCAAAGCAATTTATACAAACACAGAAGAACGCAGACACATGTCAACAATACCAGACTACCCTCTGATTCTGACAACACTGGTGTATTGGAGCAAAATGAGAAAGTAACAGAGAGCACCACATCACAGCAAAGCACCAAATTACATGGCAGCATCTGTGAAGACAAGGGGACGCAGATGAAAAAAGCGACTTTGGAGACCAGTGATGTAACAGACACTAAGAAACTTAATGACCTTTCAGTGCCGGCAACAAGCAATTTATCACTTGCTTCAGAAAATCCAGAAAGAACTAATCAGTCCTTTAGTTCAAAGACTGAGCAGGGGGTTCCTGAAAAAGAACCTCAAGGTTTATCATCTCCAGTGGCTTTGCCAAATGGTCAGTGCCAGAGAAAGAAGATACAGGAGCAAATAAGTCCATCTGCCAATAGGCACATTCAGTTGCAAAGGCAGCAAGCAACCTCTTCAGAAAAACAGTGGGATTACAAGCCATTTGACTGCAAGCTAAAGAAGTGTGAGAGCACCGACTCAGGGTATCTGTCACGCTCTGATAGCACAGAACAACAGATGGCATCCTCCAGCCCGCTGCACAGTCTCTATGAACACAGCACTGAACTGGAAAATGAAACTGCCTTCAGCAGCTTAAGGTGCACTGCCGGAAGCAGTGCAAAGCTAGACTCAGCTGAGAAAGCTACAGCCTTGACGCTAGAGAAAAAGAGGCTGGAAGAACACATTTCAAAACTTATTTCTCATAACAAAATTGTGGTAGATGATACTCAGCTAGACAATGTTAGGCCCAGAAAAACCATCCTTTCTAAACAGGGGAGCATAGATCTGCCAATGCCTTACACATACAAAGACTCTTTCCATTTTGACATCAAAACTTTTGATGTGAATAGGAAAAAGAACCTTTCTCTTTGTTCTGCTAAATCTACCTTTGCACCCCTAGAAAAATGCAAGCCGATGTTTTTTCATTCGGTGCCCACCCAGTTCTCCACGACGATAGACGCTGTGCCTGTCACACGAAGCAACTCTTTGCCATTTGTGGAAGGCACAAGAATGGTACATGACAAAGCAGGCTGCTCAAAACCACTTTCTCTTACTAAGCAGTCTGTAACTGCAGGCACTGCTAGTTTGCTGCCTAGCAACAACCTCGTTGCAAATTCGGTGGATTTTCCTAATAGCCATCCTCGAGCTCTAGTCAGACAAACAGCAGTGGATGACTTGCCACTAAGTAACGCGGCTGATCCTCCTCCCTCGGAAGAGTTGCAAGCAAGTAAAAAGCCTGGGGCTGGAGAAGTAGTCAGCGCTAAAAATAAGAAAAACAATCAAAGGAAGCTGAAGATGTTCTCTCAAGAAAAATGGCAAATGTATGGAGATGAAACGTTTAAGAAAATCTACCAAAAAATGAAAAGCAGTCAAAATGCCAAGAAAATGAAACAACGGGGGAATAAGATTACAGATATTGCAGGCTTCACTCCTGATTCAAAGGAATCTATCAGCAGTACTGAAATTACTGAGGAAAGAGACGTCAGGAGCTCTCCAAGTGACAGTCTTTCCTCCCTCGTGACAACAGATTTAAACACTGTTAAATCAGAAACCTGTACTAATGGTAATCATACTCTACAGAATGTGTCCTCGGAGGAAACTGCAGACAGTTTAACTTATGTAATGGAGACATCACATTCAGTAACCGCTAGTGCACATGGTGTAATGAGCACAACTTCCCAAGATCTCAGTGGCAGTGAGACAGACAAATGCACAGGTGGCAACAACACATCACTAGCTCCAAGCAGTTGTGAGCTCAGGCTGCAAAATACTCAGTGTCAACTGAACGCTAGCAGAATGAAGGATGACTGCTTGCCAGTACAGAGTAGCAAATGGGAGGAATTGAGTCCTGGGAAAGAATCCAGTACATTTGAATCCGATTATAAAAGCACTTCAAACAATTATGGAAACCAAAACAGGAATAAGGAAACTGGCCAGCATGCCCTGACGCCCCTGTGGGTCCACTGCAGCAACAACAACAGAGATACCCCGGGGAAATCCCAGAATTTGCCGTCAGAAAGAAAAAAGCTGAAAGTTGAAGTGGAGAAACAAGAAAACATTATTTCAAAGCCCTGTTCTGGTCCCAGTAGTGAGAACAACACAGTAAATGAAGTAGAGAGAATCTGTTGCACTATCACTCAATGTCTTTCCACAGTACCAGTGAAATTCTCCAGTAAAACAGAGGAGCAAAAAATAAGCATAGGAATTAATGAATCATCTGGAGGTGCTGAGAACGTGGAGTATATGAAAACAACCAGACTCCCCACAAAAGCTGTTAATTATAGTGGTTCTAACCTTCTTTCACATTCAGCAGTTATCTCAAAAACTTCATCTGTGGGATTTTTGGGGCCTGAATTAAGGGGAAGCAATTGCAATTCTTTAGCCTTGCACAATGCAACAGATAAAGATGTCAAAACATGTCTTGTGAAAACAGGAATACCACTTCTCAGTGACAACACTGGCGATGCACCTTCCAAACTTCATCATCTGCAATCTGGTCAGTTAACTCCGGTCCCACAGAAAAATGCCTTTCCTCCAAAATATATCCTTAAATTGCCACAAGACAAAAAAGCCTCAGATCTGTCAATTCTCTTTAAGCCTGAACAGAAGATTACATCTGTGACAGACACCTTAACCAATCCACCCTGCTCTTCTGACAGTGGATCACTCTGTTCTCATTCTACTGATGTGCTTTGGTCCCCTGTAAAATTTGAAGTGAGACAAAAGGGCAGCAAGGGAGAGCTGAAATGGAATGTACATGCAAACTTGAAAACTCCAGTATTTTGCTCACCAGTCAATTCAGAAACAACAAATATTTTAACCACAGTAGGCAGCACATTTTATAAGCAGGAAATTAAGAGAGAAGCTTGGAAAAATAAGCAGAACAAAAATAAATTAAATTATCAAAGGCAAACAGAGGAGAAGTGGATAAGCATAACCACTTCTGCACAGACCCCAAAGAACAAAATATGCTTTACCTCTAAGTATTCAAGTGGTTTTTTCATATCAGCTGACATCAAAGAAGAAAATAAAGTTTTACATCACCTTTGGTCAGGAAGTGATGCTTCAATGACAGCATCAGGCCACAGGGGAACTTCTAGCAAGGACACAGAGCCAACATCCATAGGACAGGACACACGTGGAAGCCCAGGCATTCTTAAGGACATGTCACCAACACTGCAGGATATGGAGCATTCTCAGAGCTCAACAGAGAGCTCCACTTATTTTTGCCATTCCTTTGGCACATTTTATTGCCACACTCTCACCACTCACTGTAAAGAATTCCCAGCACTACCCAACAATAGCCTGACTTACTACTCTGCAAGTTTAACAGTATCAAGCACCAAGAGCACCTTCCCATCACTAAATGCTGAACCTCGGTTAACGTGGTGCTGTTTAACCAAAAGCCTTCCTCTGCCTGCTGAGCAGAAGGGAAATGCAGACTCTGCTTATTCCTCCATGCACACCTGTTACAAGGAATCTAGCAATGAATGCACACTCTCAACATATGATATTTCTATTTTCAAAATGAAAAATATTAACAAGACTGTGGCCTATGGCTTAACAAACAAGAATTTAAAAACACTGGTTTCATCCTTTTCTCAAGGACAACAGATTCAGGAGGTAGGATTATTAATCTTATTCCCTTTCTCAAAAGGGTGTAATTTGCTTGCAAAGATACTGTCATTTGAAAGATAAGAGCATTATCTAACAACAAGTTTACTGACATTTGCAGGTATCTGTGGATGCAGAATTTATAAGTTCTGTCTTTACAAGATAAGTCATATATTCATTTGGTGCATATACATACATATATATACATATTTGTGTGAATATTTACTGAGAATTTCAGTAGGAATGTTGTCTAGGCAGAAGACTGAGCATGGTGGGGGGATGGAACTAGATGATCCTTGAGGTTCCTTCCAAGCCAAACCATTCTGTAACTCATTCTATGATTCTTAGTCTATAATATCTATTTCTTATTTTGTTCCAGTAGGGGTATTTGTTATATTCTTTTGTAACAGTATTTCATAGATTTCATTTTAAATTAATATCTGAATTAGAGTAGGACTTATAAGACAGTCAAGCTCAAGACTTTATTTTACTTGGAGTCAAAGACAGACTATATACTAGATGTCTCATTATGGAGATAAACTGAAATGTCAACAAAACCAAATCGCATTAATACATTATAAGTGTTTAAGGCTTGAAAGCTTTTCATTTTTAGGGAAATGAAGATAGACTAGTCTATCAAGATCCTAGAACAGCTCTGTAAGACTAAGCTTGTTTTTTATATAAGAATAAGAATGCAAAAGAACATGCACTAATTCTATATAGATAAACAAAAGTTTAGTTTATAAAATGAGATGGATAAAGTGATTAGAAAAACACAACACTGCTAGAAAAAGTAGTACCATTTAACTACTATGCTATTCAGTTCTATTTAACAGGAGCTCAGATTTCTAATATCCCAGTTAATGTAATTAACAATTTTCACATACTTTCAATGTTTTCAATATTCTCAACAGTTAAGCTCAGCAGCTGCTGGTGGTGCTTTCAAAAATACATCAGAGCAAAAGAAGAAAACAGCACTTTGCAAAAAGGAAAAAATTACAACAAATAAACTCAAGAGAAGCCACAAACAGAACAAAATTAAACTCCCCCCAAAATGGTAAGGAATATATTTTTCAGCTTCATTGGATATGGACATCATTTTGCTATTATAGGTGTAATAAAGTCCTCAGAAAATAGAAAGCCAGCCCCAAAGTTCAATCTTGTCAAAACTGGGAAAAATAATTCTCTTAGAAAGATCTATTCCCACAAGGCAGCAGTTTCACAAAGGTAAATTATCAAAGCATCAACATATTGTTGACTATCAGGAACAGACTTTTGCAAGCAGAACCGTTTCATATTACCAATGAAATATTACCATTCCATATTACCATACCATTTACAACGGAAAGATGATGACTGGTCAGTTGACTGTCATTATGATTTAGAAATTCATCTCTTCCAAAACTGTCAGCATTTCATTTTGTTTGAGGTGAATCAACATATTTCAATTTTTATTTCTGTTACAGTTAAAAGCAGCATGCAAGATCCTTTTAGCCGCAAATCTATATCCTAAACTTCTATTAAGCAGAGAACACAGAAGAATAAATATCAAGTTCTAACACAAAGTTAAAGTTAAAGCCAGCTGTAGTTTAAAGGATCATTCAGTTTAAATACAAAGCAGGATGAATGTGAGCACAAAACTATCAAAGGCACATTGTATCAATCAGCACAGCTCCTCTGACTTTAATGGGAGTTCATATCAGTGTAAGATTTAGTCTCTAGTCTTTCAATAGTATGGGGCAGCAGAATGTCTGATGAATGGCTTCAATAAGAAACATATATTGCGTGCATGCATCCCTCTTATTTCATGACCAAAACCAGACAGGGCTGTCCCTTGAGGACAAATCAGTGTCAGTAACTTAATCACCATGTCTAGCTTGGCAAACAGCACTGCAATTCCAAATGATCATAAGAACAAAAATAGAACACTCAAGTCTATGTTACCCAAACAGTCCAGAGGCATTCTTCTGGGACTTCTTTTTCAACTTTATAAAAATTATCTTTCTTTTCTGATGATCTGAGAATTGATTCATTTGGCTATATCAAATAAGTACAGGGACTCAATTAAATACAGAGACCTGAAAGCCAGTCCGTATTGGTAGCTAACTCACCAAAGTATTAATCGTGAAATGTAACACATTTTTCGAATACACCAAACACCTAAACGTTTAAGATTTACTCACTGCTCTGTGTATAAAATGATTGATTCTATCAATATAAAAATGGGACCTTCCAATGAAATTTAGTCCCAGTCATTAAAACTAACTGAACTAAATAGTGTATAAAACAAAGAAGTTGGATTATTCATTGTGAGCTTTGTAAATAACTGAAATATGTTGCTCATTGGTAATGATGAATATGTAAAACACATGAAGCAAAATGAAAAAACAAAAAGTCAACAACCATGCAGTCTCAGGTGATTCTTGTATACATGTATTTCAAAAACTTCAAAAAAAAGTATATTGTTTTAAAATTCCAGATATAGGAGAAAGGTTTCTGGATCTGTTATTCCTGAATCCATTTCTCTTAACAAACCAAAGGTTTACTGAATCCTACTGAGAAAAAGTTTAATAAAATAATTGTGGATCTCTTGTCTTAAATCCAGATTTTTTGAGTTGACATAAAACAACATTTTCACAGTAGTAAAGTCCCAAATTCCCAGTAAATTTGCCTGATGCTGTGGTATTATTCTACCATGGCTGCTTTTAAATGACACATTTTTGTGTATCTTTTCAACGTCATTTGCATTGCAGGTACAGAGGAAGGCATGTACATGGATATGCTCAGCTGAAAATGAATCGACTAAGCAAGAGGCACTGTTTTCCAAACAGAACATGGGATGTTTTGAAAAAGGGCTATTCATCACAACCCTGTAAATTTAATCAGTATAAGAAGTGCCATTCCCTTCAAGCAAAAGTACAAGGTAAGTACTTTGAATATTTTGGAATGTATTGAATGTTTGGTTTTGAAAAGAATGAACATTAACAGTATCTTTGATATGTACCTGTTTTGCACTGAACTGCAAAAACACTTTTGTCTTTCAGTATGTTCTTCAAGTAAAAAGACAAACATCTCACACATGATTTTCATACATATCCTTACTTAAACAAATTTGACAATTAGGAGGGCATTTTAAAAAGAAACAACACAAAACAAACTTATATTAGAAGCCTAAACAGTTTAAGATAGATCTTTACAATTTCCTGAAACAAGATTGTGTGTTTGTTGTGTGATGCTTCGTGTATTGACGTGCTTTCTGTGGTTCAATCAACATATTCTGCCCCCTCATCCACAAACTTAAAGGAGTGGTAGTAATGCAAATGTTGTTTATTCTATGGCCATCTTTGAAGCAGAGACAATACCCTGTGTTTGTTTATAGAAGATCTAAATAGCTATTAATCTGCAAGACATTTTTTAGTGGTTGTTTAAAAAGACACATATACAGTAGCTGAGAAAACGTATCAGGTGTAGAATAAAAATTTACAGAAAATAATAAATACATGACAATTAGTTCAGTGATATGATGAGAAATTTACTAAGCAAGTTCTAGCCTGTGGGGGAATAACAATAAAAGTAAAAGCTTCTTCAAACCTCTTTTTAATAGAAAATTACCTACACCAGCAAAAAGACTCATCTTGTTCCACCTCAGACAAGCCACTTTGCAGTAGGAAGAAAGAAGGAAAGAATACCTCAGGAATATTTTCCTATACTGAAAATCTAAACCACGCTAAGCAAAAAGACAAATTGGATAAAAAAGTAGGTATTGTACTCTATATGACTGTTTATTACAAGAAAAAATGATAGTGGCAAAACTTGAATTATATTCAGCAGTTTTAAACTTCAAGTTGAGAGTACTTTATCTATTCACAGATTTTGATTAAAAATGTGTTAAAGTTATTTTGGGGGGTTGAAATACAATGGAAACTTACTAATGTTAGAATTTGCTTTTTTAAAAAGAATGATTACATTTGCATGATTTGGAAAGTATATTTCTCTTGCTTGCTGTCTTGGTTGGCACTGCTGTTGGAGGTGCTGGTAGATGTAGCACAGAGGATGCTGAGATGGAGACAGTTAACTTGTCACTAGGAGGATGCTAATGGACACAGAACAGTGGGAAGAATGCGTATGAAACTTCACAACAGATCTTTAGCCCTTTGTGGACGCCTGTGTGGCTATGGTTTTGACACTACCAATAGCTACATTAGCTTAGATGGGGGCCTTAGATGCCTGCACTGGCTGCAAACAATGCTGTTACATGCAGTGCTAGCATAGCTTCTGGGGGAAATATTCTACGCTTATCCTAACTGTTATACTTTTCCCTAGACTTGCCACAATTGAAGACAGAAGCTCCAGAACCAGACTGTTTTTATGTAGCATAAGCACTGGTGCCTGATGTAGCACAAGCACTTAGGAGCCTAACCCTTAAGACGTGTTTTATGAAATATTTTTATTTCCTACACATATCTCACCACCTCAGACATTGTATTTCTTGCAGACTCATCCCAAACCTTTCCCCCAACCTTGCATAAACATCTTTGCAATATGAATATTAAAATACCTTAATGAAAAGAACATCATCCTAGATAGCACATATGTAGCTTGAAATCTCTAATTCCCATTATCCGTAAATTATTAGCATGATTTGTCACCTAACCAAGAAAAAAAAAAAAAGGAAAAAAATACATCCGTTACTACACCTCCTTGACATACTGGGAGAAAAAAAAAAAAAGTTTTCTCATCAAAAGAGGGATGAGTGACTTGGCCTGCAGTAATGGAAAACAGTAGTGCAAATATAATCACAGTTGTATAAATAAAGGTTGACATTATCCTTAATTACTCCGTTGATATGAGTTATAGCAGAGGTAAATGCTTTCTACTGACATAATTAATATTATTATTATTGCACTCTTTTAAAAGATAGCGTTGCTCTAGATTGAAATTTTTAAATGTAAACTTTTTTCTTCCCTAATTTCTACAGGACATTTCTGGGCAAATCAGGGAACACACAAGAAGAAACTTCTCATTTCAGAACATTATACCACCTCTGGAAGTATCTATGACAACTCATTCCTTTTCATCCACGGTTAATACAGCCATGCAGCAAGTCAGCAGTGCTGTGGAAATCTGCTGTTCAGTGACACAGCCACTTGTGCTTCAACAATCAGTTCCAGGGGAGTCAGAGACAAACGTTCAGGCTGACTCAATGGCGTCTTCTTTTTGGTCTCGTCCTTTTGACTTTAGAAATATAGGCACAGGTGAGCAATCTGATAGCACAAACTCAGAGGCTGCTGGTCCTCTTTCCTTACATCTAGAGGCAAGCCAGGAAAGTATATTAAAGGTGCAGTCAGAGAGTCAAAGATCTGGTACATCAGATCTGGTGATCCAGGCCTCAAGAAAGGAGAAATGTCCAGTTGAAGAAAATATATATTCATCTTCTATGGAAAACTCAGCTCCTAGTTCCCAACCTGGATGTTCTCGTTCATTAGGATCAAAAGCAGAGTTTCCTCCTGAGTCAGTCTCTACAGCTAAATTACCCAGTGTAGAACACACAGAACGGGAAAACTTTTCTCAAAAAGTCCTTCACCTTCATGGAACTTCTGACAAGAATGGAACCCCCCTGCAGTCAGAGAGCTATGGAAGGACACACAGAACAGCTACTTCTACTTTTAAAAAGCCCTCAGTAACTCTCAGGTCTCCCGAATTCAAGAATTACTCTGCAACACCTTCCAAGATATACAAAAAGAGAGGTTTAGAGATGATGAGGAAGCAAACCAGAGTTGAATATGACGACACTAGTAGTGATGATGAAGATAGGCTTGTTATAGAAATATAGACAGGCTGCTAATAAGATGTTTGTATGATGGCCCATTACAGAAGGAAATACTGTGGATGTTTGATCTGTATTTCTGAAGCACCTTAAGATCAGAAAAGCCATTCCTCGGTGCAACAGGCAGCATTCTTTTCTGAAGAGAGTCCTCTATTTCTACTTGGAACTTTTTTAAAGCTTATTTGAAACAAAAGGGGGAGCTGGCATCATTTATTTAAATGCAAACGGTAAACCTGCATAGGGGTTTCTAGCCTTGTTAACCTTCTTACCAGTCTTATATAATGCCCACAAGTGCCAGCTGCCAGAGGTTATATTATTAAAAGACAGCAGTGTATTTATGTAAATACACACAGTAACAGTAGCAGCAGCTTCCTCAATATATAAGCTAAGATTTCCTGGAAGGGTATGGGTGTATTCTCTCCTATATTCTCTTTTTCTGTAGTCACTGCCATTTGTACTGGGAGTGATAAACTGGCATTAAGGAGAAGATACACTGCCTAAACGTCTGTGGTAATGAATGAAAGAGTCTGCAAAAATGCTGATCTTTCTCCATGTTGCACAAATGTCAATGCTTCTTTGTGACAAATGACACAAGCACGCTTTGCTTTGTGTTTTGTGCCTTTTATGCCAATATCTACTCAAATATTCTTGATTTCTAGTTGGAGAATATGGATGTTAGCTATTAATATTTCCTTGTGGCATAACTTTTGACAAGGATCATCACGTTGTGCTCCAACCAATATAATCTGGCATGTTCTGTTTTTATTGTAATCTTAAATTTAAGTGCAATGATGTTATTTTATTGACAGTAAAGAAGCTATATGGCATAGCTCTCCTAGTTCTCTCTCTCTCTCTTTTTTTTTTTTTTTTCGTTTAACAAAAAGTTTTGTGCTATCAACCCCCAAATTTACTGGTTTCTATGTGAATAAATTATTAGATAGTTTAAATTGGCCAAGTGTATTCACTTACTTGATTAAACTGATAAACATTAAAACTCTCCACTTCTACACTTGGGTTTTATGGATAAAATTACATGGAATATTTGGAATTGTTTTTACTTTATTTATGCACAGTTTAGCTTACATACATCTTATAGGGAGATCTAGTATACGACAGGAGAACATAAATGTATACGTGAAAAACAATGCCAAAACAGCTAACAGATGTAAAATCAAGTGCTAAGTTCCATGCAATTTCTGTATTTTCAGCTGGCTTACAAATGTGACCATTCTTGAAACTATCCATACGGAACTTCACAGTTAGCTGTGATTTATGTTTGTACATTTACTAATGTACAGAAAACAAAAATTGTGATCAAATCATTATACCAATTCCTACTTCTAACGTAAGGAAAAAAAAATGAAGTTAGGAAAAAATATCTACTCTTTCAGAACAGAGGATGAGCTGTGAAAGGTATTTTTTCATTTTTAGAAATGTTACCGTATTGCTCCTTAACACAGACTTTTCAGTAGCATTACACAAATAATTGGTGTCAAGATTGTGAGGAAAAAATCCAGGAATATTAGTTGAAGATTTTCCTTTTCATGCTTTACTTGTCATTTACAAAGTGCTGAGATTTTACAACAATGGTATTAATACTATTCTGCTGGGTTGTGATCAGAATTTGCAGTTCAGAAATACAGTGAACCAGTCCGTTTTCTTACTACATTTTATGGTAAGCTTCTGTAAATTTCAGTTACATTTCTACATACAATGAGAGGATAAGATGAAGTAACAGCTTGCTTAACTTAGGAAGCCTTGTATTCAGAGGTCAGCAAGCATGGGGATATAGTTGAAGAATGAATGACACTGACCATGGTGGATTGCAAGGCCCTGTAAATCGTGTATTTTGTTGACTGAGAAACAGTACAAAAAATACCAATTTGTTTAGGGTGGTACAGATGAATAAGAACGATATACTTGTAGATTGTTTTTATATTGTTAGATTTTTTCTTTATATTGTTAGATTTTTTCTTTATATTGTTAAATTATTTTATCTTAGTAAAAATAAAACATGAATCAAAATAACACCAATATTGCTGTAGTTATTAAGGTTTATTTCTAGAATCAACTGCAGAGATGGAAATTCAAGAATGTCACTGTTTTTAGAGGATATTCTGAGTGCTATAATGTCAATAGGCTTTCTGCTAGCACATATTTTCTAAGTGAGGAACACGGACATATTGTATGAGCTGCAAGTCTCCATTCCTGATCATTGGAAGAAGCTGTCAGCAGATTAGGGAAGGTTTACTAGAGAGCCTATACATAAAATCCAACATTGTTTTACAAAAATATCTTAATTACGTGTTGATAGTCTTAGTACAAGCACCAGTATTACAGTTCAAGCATTTTAACATTGAATTATTTTAGTCATAATTGTATTAATTTTCTTAACCTACCTCAAAACTTAGCAGGAGAACCAATGTGTTACTCAGAAAACTTCTCAGTGAGATAATTAACAAGAAAATTGTTAATATCGTCATTATTTGACAAGTTTCACTAGTCTGATATTACAGGGACAAGAAAGATCAAAGGAAAATGTGTCTAAATCTTTCTTTCTCTGTTCAGTATTAGTGCTCCAAGACAAACTGGAGAGTTACTTAAGTGAATCCCCAGTACAAAGAATTTAAATATTGTGAGCTCAAAGAAGTACTCTACTATTACGCAAATTTGGGAGTAAAGAGGAAAAGAAAGGAAAGAGGAAGAGATGCTATCATAAAAACTTCAGAATGTCCCATGAAAACAGACAAAGTAGATATAATCACTCAAGAATCTCTTCAACAAATACCGATATATATATGTGTGTGTGTGTGTGATTTACAAGGAGAAAAAAACACTCACTCTGATTAACTTAAGAATGTCATGATTTGTTGTCTGTAAATTAGAATTCAAATAATAAATTAAAGGTGTAATCACCGTCTTTTTTATGTAACAAGCAGTGAAAGGCTCTTAAAATAATCCAAAAAGCTTAATGTAACACCAATGGGTATAAACCAAAAAAATAAATAAAAAAAACATGCTCAACATCCATGAAGGTAGTAATGGTAAACATACTATATATAAACTTTTAGAATGCAAAAAGTCTTGTTCAAATGGAATATATTCAGTTGGTTCAAATTTATAGGCTGAAAAATTGCACTGAACTAACAGGCTCCCATTACTTAAACATCCCATAAATAACAGAGGTGTGACAAGCCTTAGTTTATCCTATTTAACAGATTCTATGTATGACTGACAAGTTGCCATCCATCCCTGAATTTCATCTCAGCTACTATTTCTGCTTTAACCCAAACTAAAGATGAATGGAAAATGCTCTACTTTTCAAGAAGGAACACTACTTTTTATGAAGGCCCCAAAATAAATGGGAAAACAAAACAAAACAAAACAAAACAAAACAGGGAACCTAATGTAGAGGTTCCCATTTCAGAAAAGCACCAGCAAAGCTTCTAAATTATGAAGTCAGACCCAGTGAGATTCAAACCAGTGCTTGAAACTAGTCAGGTACTCTGGTAATGCTTAGGTGGAAGGTGCCTTTGTCTAAAGAGAAAAGTGAGGAAGAATGTTACTGCAACGAACCCATCAAAAGTTTTGGAATTTTCTTCTGACGGAATCACTCCAAGTTACTGGATTCTGAATCTGTAGAGAAAGCAGGAGAAGAAGAGACACAGTGCTTGCAGTCACAGTGCTTACAAGTCACAGTGCTCTCTGGAATTCTGTTGTGCAGGCTTTAGAAAAGGCTATAGGACTTGTCTTGCACAAATATATTCCTCAGATAATCATACTAACAAAAAGGCATATGTCTGGTTTCAGGTGCTTTAGCTTCATGGCTATTTCCATTTTCATTTTCAAACTCCCTACATATTATTGTTAACAGTAGCATTGATGACAAATTTATATACACACCACTTTTAATCAAATTTTCAATTCAGTGCCATTCTATCCAAAAATCTCAAAAAAAAAATATTTCAAATGCTTCAAAGTTTTGCAAAATCTTAAAAAAATTACAACCTTCTAGAGCAAATGGAAAATTTCTGTACCTATTAAATCTAAACCAGCTATAAAAGAAAATACGTTGTCAAGCACCTTTAGAAAGCATAAGACAACCCTTGCATCAAACCAAACCAGCAGCCCCACAGCATCTATATTCATTTCTTGCTTGTGCAAGAGTTTTCTTATTAAAATAATTTATGGATGTGTAATGAATTTGCTATATAAAGTTTTTTTGTTGCATAACGTTTGTGGCTAAATGACATGTTTTAAAGTGAAATTCCTAGATCTGTAATTTAGAAATATTCTAAAGGCAAACTCAGAAGTGCTGTGCAAAGAAACTTTCATCCTGTGTGCACTTCAGAGCATTAAATATAAAGACTTCTTTGTGATAAAACAGCTGTAGCTGGAACAAAATTGGGATGATTTTAAACTAGAAAAGAAAGAACATGTTAAACTCTATTTCCTGATAGAAGTAATCTTTCATATTTTAGTTCAGTGTACAGTGTAAAAATTTGACCTGACATTAGAGCTGAAAACTGAAAAAAACATAGATCTCTAAAAGCATTTATACATCTGTGGTGGTGTTTTTAGCAGCATCACTAAAGGAGGTAGTGACTCCACCAGAATCTTTTTAGCCACAACAGCCCTTGGAGGATTAAGGTCTGAATCACATGCATCAATGTGTGAAAACAGTGAGTAATGCTCTTGGTTTAAGTTACAGAACTTGAGGAGTTTGCATATCCAAATCCAACTGGCCATATGGCAGACAGCATTTTTGCCTTCCCAAAGGATATTGTACTCACACAAAACATACAAAGCTTTGCAGAAAAATTATTCCCTGACTTTTCACAGCAGAAGTGTCAGTCATGCAGTGATATTTTAAATTAATTTTCAAGAAGTTGAACATCAAAGCCACATGAGGGCACCAGCACAGAGAAAAATCTGTCTCAATCCTTCAAAGTTAGCAGCAGTCCTGATGATTCATTGCTTTGCTATAAACAAATTTGTTTTTTTTTTACACATGAATGCATCTCATATTTTCATTCCTTCCATTAAAGGATGCAAATAAACCAGCAATGATGATCACTGATAAGATCTATATTCAACATCTGCTCTACTCAAATACACTGTAAATATGTGGATGTTAGAAATTTTTTCCTCTTTAGATGTGAACGTTTCTTATTGTTAGATGTGAATATTCCTTATTTATTCAAACTTTCCTATTAATCTCCTTTACTACTGACATTGATCTGCCTGGAAAACCCTAACTGATATATGTATGTCCACTAGGGTGGACGAGAAGGGTGCAAACCAAGCAGTGCAATCCCAGAGATCACCAACAAATATGAAGATATGCCTTGAATATATAACCTATGAGAAAAGATAGAATGGACAAGAGCTGTTAAGGTATCAGAAATTAGGAAATATGCACAAAAACACTAAATAGAAGTTTATGAATAAAGACTATCTCATCTGTTGTTCACATTCATTGTGCGATGATGATGGCCTTTATTTGCAGCATAAAAATTAAATATTAAGAAATGCTCCTCGTTGAAGGAGCAACCACGCTTGTAACAAATAGCTCAGGGAAGTTATGGACTCTTCATCACTTGGAAACTTCAGTAACAGTTTAGGCAAGTATTTCATAGAATCATATAGAATCACAGAATAGCACCATATATGCACTTAAAATATTTATATAATGGTCACATATTTTTTATTATAATAACATTAACAAATTTATTATTCATCATTATTGTTTGTAAATAGATTCCCCAAAATGCCATGCCTAAAATATTTAGGACATATGTGGCTATATATGCACCACTGATGTACACACATGGAATTGTATCTAAAAACATTTGCTTTGCATTACTTGCAATGTATATCATAATGTATGTCTGTTTTTGTATGCTGCCTGTTTTATTTACACAAGCAAATTTGTTCCCATTCACGAGTGTTTACATTTTAATCATTGTCATCTAGTTAAGTAGCTTTGCTAAACCACTGTATTTTTTTTTTATGATTTTTTTTTTAATTTATTATTATTATTTTAGCAAATCTTTTGATCTTTTCTTACTGTCTGTCACAGTATCCTTCAGGACAAAATGTCATACAGCTAGAAGAGCACATAATACAATGAGTGAACAATTGGCTGGTGGGTTGAGCTCAAAGGGTTATAGTAAATGGGGTTACATCAGGCTGGAGAGCAACCTTACAGAAAGCGATCTGGGGATTCTGGTCAACAGCAAGTTGAATATGAATCAGCAGTGTGCCCTGGCAGCCAAAAGGACCAACAGTGCCACAGGATAAAAAGGACATAAAACTATTAGATAGTACCTACAGGAGAGCTACAAAGATGGTGAAGGGTCTAGTGGCCATGACATATGAGGGGGGGCTGAGGTCCCTTGGTTTGCTCAGCCAAGAGCAGAGCAGGCCAAGGGGAGGCCTCATGGCGGCCTGCAGCTCCCTCAGGGGGAGCGGATGGACAGGCGCTGAGCTCTGCTCTCTGGGGATAGCGACAGGACCTGAGGGAATGGCATGGAGCTGGTCAGGCTGGGTGTTAGGGAAAGATGCTTCATCAATAGGATGGTCAGGCACTGGAACAGGCTCCCCAGGGCAGTGGTCATGGCACCGAGCCTGCCGGAGTTCAAGAAGCATTTGGACAAGGCTCTCAGACATATGGTTTGATTTTTAGGTAGTCCTGTGTGGAGCCAGGAGTTGGACTCAATGATCCTTGTGGGTCCCTTCCAACTCAGGATGTTCTATGATTCTATTACTAATTTTACCTTAAGGATTCATGTGGAATTAAGGCTGTAGATTAAGTCTCCTGGCCTGTATTTTTCATTTACCATCAACATTCCACAAAAGTCATGTGAATGAAAAGGTCAATATTATTTTTTAGACTACAAAATACTGAGAGATTTTAATAGCACATTTAAAGTGTTTTGGTGGAACTGGATAAACATCACGTAGAAGCACACAATGTAAAAGCTGTGTCTTCCGCAGTTTGGTTATAAGCCATTCTCTTAAGTTTAAGCAGTAC